ACAGTGAATCTCCTAATTTTAGCATCTTTTGCATTGTGGATAGGCTGAGAATTTCTCAAATCAAGGTTTTTGTTTTGTTTTTTTTTTTGAGGAAGATTAGCCCTGAGCTAACCGCTGCCAAGCCTCCTCTTTTTGCTGAGGAAGACTGGCCCTGAGCTAACATCTGTGCCCATCTTCCTCTACTTTATATGTGGGATGCCTGCCACAGCATGGCTTGCCAAGCAGTGCCATGTCCACACCCGGGATCTGAACCGGCGAACCCCAGGCCACCAAAGCAGAACGTGCACACTTAACTGCTGCAGCACCGGGCCATCCCTTTGATGTTACTTTTGAACAGTTCTTTCCTAGATTTATCTCTTTGCTCTTTCATTTTACTATAAGCTTCAAAAAGAAACCAGAAATTTCCCTCAGCTAAATATCCAAGTTGGTCATATACGAGTTCTGCTTTTGACATAACTGTCAGATACAATTCAGCTAAGTTTCTACCACTGTCTGAGGATTCTCCTTTTTTCCAATTTCCAATAACATCCCTCAGTTCTTTCTGAGCCCTCACCAGCAGTGCTTTTAGTGTTCATATTTATTAATAACCTGTTTATGATTACATACTGTCTAAGACTATAGATTTCCTCCATTGTGCTCTTCTGAGTCCTCACCGGCAGAGTTAACATCCGTGTTTCTACTGACAATTGCACAAAGCATTCTGGGTGTTTTTCTGTCATCCTCATATTTCTAGCCTCTGCCCATTGCCCAAATCCAAAACCACTTTTATGTTTTTAGGTATTTCTTACAGCAGCACTCCACTCATAGATAGCAAAATCTGTATTAGTTTCACGTTGCTGCTGTAACACATTATCACAAACTTTGTGGCTTAAAACAGCACAGATTTGTAATTCTGAAGGTCAGAAGTTCAAAATGGGTCTTATAGGACTAAAAGTGTCAGCCGGGCTGATTTCCTTCTGGAAGCTCTGGGGAGAATCCTTTCCTTGCTTTTTCTAGCTTGGAGAGGCTGTCTGGATTCCTTGGCTCATGGCCACATTGCTTCCAGTCACACCTCTGACTCTGACCCTGGGCTGCTTATAAGGATCTTTGTGATGACATTGGGGCCGTCAGGTAATCCAAGATAATCTTTCCCATCCTAAGATCCTTAACTTAGTCACACCTGTAAAGTCTGTTTTGCCATGTGAGGTAATATATTCACAGGTGTCAGGGATTGGGATGTGGACGTCTTTGGGGGGCCAGTTTTCTGCCTACCATACCTGCTCTCCAATGAACCCTTGTTCATTTAGTGAACAATAATTGAGGCCCTTAGATGGGTGCTAGGGGACACATATATGAATGTTGCTAGGCAAGAGTACTGCCTCTTGCTTGTTGGGCCAGACAGAGTTGGAAAAGGTCTTTTTGAATATCAGGAGGTTTTTTCTACCCAGTTAAATGTATTACATTATTCTACCTTGCTTATAACATGGACTGATCTAACACTAGGATTTTTCACCTGTGTTAATAGTTACCGTGCAGGAGTATGGGTTTACTGTTGCCCCAAATCAGGATTTTTATGTGAGATTTTCCAGTTTTTATAACATGATGTAAGTCAAAGCAGCCCCGTAGGCCAAATTCAGACTGCTGGCCAGAAGTGTACAACTGCTGTCTTATGGACTAGTGATGTGATCTAATGCTAGGTCACAACTGTGGATGGACTGAGAGATAAGACATGGGTGACTGACACTGGCATGTGAACACGTGAGTCTCAAAACTACAAAAATGCTGTTCAAACTTACAGGGTGGCTAGGAAACACAATATAAGTTGGGGCTGTTGGCACAGAAAGAAGGCAGGGCAGCACTATTGTCTCTGCTCCTTTACTCATTCAGCCATCAAACCTTCCATGCCAGGCGTGGGTGTGGGGATGGAGATAAAAAACAAGATAGGATTCCAGTAGGGTGAGGCCTGTAAATTTTAAATCTGGTGATTTTAAAACCGAATAGGGCTTTTACAAAGTCCTGCAAGCCCCTGAGCCTGGCCCAGCTGACTGTCCATGGGGGTTAGGTAAGGTCACATAATAGATCTGACTGTAGAGCATAGGGTTGTTTCTGAAATAATTATTGAGAACTTTACATAGATCTATTTTGAGCATTTTATATGTAGTGTCTCCTTTAGAACAACAGCTCTGTAAGGCAAATGTCCCAATTTCATGGATGAGGAAAAATGAGAAGAGAAAGATACATCCTATAAGCCAATTTCACAGCAGAGTAAAACTTAAACAGGTTGAGTAAGTCATCTAGGGCCACAGAGCTAATAAGTGGCAGAACCAGGTTATGAATCCAGGCTGTCTAAACTCTCAAATGATGAGTAGGTATAAAGAGGCAGGTTTGTTAGGTGGTAGGATGGAGGAAGGGTGCTGCGGGCAAAAAGAACAGTCTAGACAAAGCAGGATCAGTGTGAGCAGAGAAGGGACATTTAGCAGACTGTGGCAAGATAAATGGTATAATCTGGATTCTCTTAGTTTCAAGTATCAGTAAGTTTGACTTTTACAGGTTTCAACACTAAGAGGAATTTATTGGTTCATATAACTTAAGATTAAGTACTGGGCTCGAGGTAAGGCCTCATTGGGCAACTCAATGTCACCAAATACTGAGAATCATTTCCCCTTGGAGTCCAAAAGTGGCTCACATCAGCTTCTGGTATTCCATCTGTTCTGACATCCAATAGGATGTATTCCGTCCAGCATTGCAAACAAGTCCTGAGACTCACTCTGTGCCAGCTTGGGTTTAAGCGCACCAATCAGCACGCTCAGGGAGATGGGATGGATCGATTAGGTTAACCTAGCTCTCCCAGCCCACTCTGAAAGCTGGGCTTGCAGTTCCTTCCCCAGAACCGTAAGGTTCCCAAGTGGAATTCAGGTGGGGGGGGGGGGGCGCGGAGGAGGGGAATGGATGCTGGAAGGACAATCAACATAGGTAATGCCTCTTGAATCCTTTTACGTATTATATCTGCATCCTAGAGTCAGGGATTTAGTGGATAAAGGTATAGAAGTGTGAGAAAGTCTCGTTTGAGTGAGGAATGACCCTCCTATATTAAGATTAGATTAAGTTGTAATAAAAGACCCTCAACTGCAGCAGCTTAAACAAGATTTCTCATTTTACAGAGGTAGGTGTTTCAGAGCTGGGAGGAGATCTGGCATCCTCACAATACTTCCATTTCTGAGTTCCCAGTGCTCGTTCTCAGAGTCACCTCTAAGCAGAGAAGGGAAAAAGGCTCAGGGGAAAGCAAGTCTTTAACAGCACCACCTAAGTGGCACACATTCCTTTTATTCAATTCTCATTAGCCATTATTTAATCACAAACCCACACCTATCTACCAGAGAGGTGGGAAGATGGAGTCTAGTGGAATGGCCATATGCCAACCTAAAACTTGTAACGAGAAAACTTGTCCTTGTCATGGTTCAGACACGAGAAACTGGCATCTATTCTTCTAAGTACTTGTCTGTCCTGTCTGATCCTGAACCACATGTCAGCTGCTTCTGTCGCTGGCTTGTGCCTCCTGGCTGCAGCTAGAGTGCCCACCATTGGTTAGGTTCTCTGGTGGAGGAAGCCACCACGGCCGACGCCATGCTTGGGAAGAGAGAGCTGCTGTACCTGGCTGAATTTGCTACCGGCCCTCACCTCAATTCCACACCATAGCTCACTCCTTTGCTGACACCCCATGGGAGGAGCCAGCCACCAGAACCATTCCTATCAGTGGCCTCTACCCGGTCTTCCTGGTCCTTGTCTAAGGATCTTCTGACCAGCAATGTGCCCATGACACACTGACCACATCTCTCTGGGCAATGACTCACATACCACCTTTCTAACCATCCTCCTCCAAATAAGTGCCCTTTTTTCTCCGGGACCCTAAATTTCTTATTTTAAAAGAGGATGGAGGGGCCACCCCCGTGGTCCAGTGGTTAAGTTTGCACGCTCTGCTTCTGCGGCCCAGGGTTTCGCTGGTTGGGATCCTGGGCGCCGACATGCCACCGCTCATCAGGCCACGCTGAGGTGGCATCCCACACGCCAAAACTAGAAGGACTCACAACAAAAATAAACAACTGTATCCTGGGGGGCTTTGGGGAGAAAAAGGAAAAATAAAATCTTTTTTTAAGAAAAGAGGGTGGAGCCAGCCCTGATGGCCTAGGGGTTATTAACGTTCGCTGCGCTGCGTGGAACCACACTACCCATCTGTCAGAGGCAATGCTCTGCAGAGGCTGACACACAAGAAGCAGAAGAACTTACAACTATACACAACTATGTACTGGGACCTTGTCAGGGGGAACGGAAGAAGAAAAAAGGAGGAAGACTGGCAACAGATGTTAGCTTAGTGCGAATCTTCCCCTTAAAAAAACCCCAAAAACCTGATGATTGTGCAGCCCTCTCTTAAATAAATAGATAAGTAAATAAAAAAGAGGATGACCTCAAGTACTGGTCAGGGTCTGATAGGCCCCGTGATTCCAGGAGAAAATCGAAAAAGTACAGGCCCCAAGTAAATGACAGGGAAACGCGAAGGAGTTTACAAAGCCAGGCCAGCTCCGACTCCTGGAGAACAGGCTGTCGCCGCGATCTGCCCAGAGAGGCGTCTGGGCGCTGGGCAGCGGGAGACCGCAGCTTCCACTTCCGAAGCTGCCTCTCCACGCGGGCGGCTGATGCTGCGGTCCAGCGGCCCCGGACAGTTGTGAGGACTCGGTCCATTCAGAGGGATGACGACGAACTTCCAAAACGGCACGTTGGCTCTCACAGAAGCAGCAAACGGGGAGGCGAAGAGAAGCGTACGTAGAGCAGCAACCAGATCCCACCCAATTACAGTCGGCGTCGCCCGCGTCCACACAACCAATAGTTAACGCGAGAAATTTCGCGGTTCTTACCGCGAGAGCAAAACCAGCCCCGGGGCTGAGTCAGAGAACTGTCGGCCCCACTACGCAGGCGCAATCTTGCCCACGTACCACGTCGCGTTGGTGCGACGTCCAGACGCCGAGGAAAGGCCGACTGCAGAAGCGCGCCTGCGTTTCCTCTTCTTACCCCAGCCATTTCTCGGTTTCATTTCCGGTCCCCCTCCCGTATCTTCCCATTTGTCCTTCCGACAGAAAAATCGGTGGTGTGGTCAGTTAGAATCTTCAGTTCCCGTCAGGTTGACCTCGCCTGCGGCCGTGAAGCTCCCGGGGCTTGGGCCGCGCGGCCCACGGGCGGCGCCCGCCTCGCACCATGGTGAGTAGAGAGGGGGTGAGTGGGCGCGCTGCGAGGACCCCCAGCCCCGGGCGGGGCTCGTGGCCCAGGGGTCTGCCCGGCGTCACTGCGGGCTTCGGGCTCCTTGGCTGTGACTGGGGGATTCCCTTCCTGCCTCGCTTTAGTTGGAGGAGGCGATGGAACCCCGGGAGCCGGGTTACCACCTCCGACGGTGTTGTAATCTCGATGAAGCGCTTTACGTTATCGATGGGGAAAACTCAGGCGCAGAGAGGCTCAAGGACCGGCTCCGAGTCACGGTGCCTGGCGTGGGCCAGATCCTTTGCCCCCAGGTCCCGTAGGGGAGATGAGCAGCGGTTGTGACTGTATGTTTCTTGATTATTTGGTTTATGTCTCTTCTCGGTCTCCCTCAGAAGATTTCAGCTTCACGAGGATAGTCTTTTCTCCATTGCTTCCTTAATGTCTGACAGTGTCGCACGTTGTAGGTGTTCAGTAACAATTGAATGAATGGCGTAGTGTCATTGCATGAGGGTGTGATCTCTGTGGTCTTGCGCGGTTCATTGGCTTCTTCATTCGTTCGAGAAGTGCTAAGGATGTGTAAGTATGAGAATGCATGTAGTGCTGGTACAAAGAAGATACTCGTACATGTCGGCTGCTCTAATATTTTCATGAAGTGAAGCCCCATGAGAAAGCACGCGACGCTGTAGTGAGGTTATAGAAGATGCATTGGAAGCCGTTATAGATTCATGAGCACAAGATCCCGAGGAGAGAAACCAGTGGGCTAGAAGCAGCCCTTTTTGTGGGAGGATGTGCCCCAAATTACTGCTTCATACTGTCCTATTCAGCCTTGAGGATCTTCGTTTCTGAACTCTGACGAGCACAGAGAATCTCCTGTCTCCATTCCCTAGCAGGGAGAAAGATCCGTGGGCCTGGATATTTCTGGCTACAGGAATTACTGGGTATTTTATATATTGTCACCACCACACATTCATATTTGTGGGCTTCCATCACCCTGGGTTCATAACCCTATTACATTGATTCATTGTTTTGGGGTGAAGTTCCTATGAATTCCCTCAAAAGGAAGAATCATGGCCAAATTCTTAGCACCTAGCATGGTGTTTAAAGCATGGAGTAAGCATCGAGAAACGCTGAGTTAAATATTTAGAATCTATATGCTTTAATGAAATAGGTAGGACAGCCTCAGCCTTCAAGATGATGGCTTCCTTTGGGAGAGGCTCTCTGCTTTTTTTCTCGGTAGATATTGTGTTCCTTTATCCACCAAGCATTTGCCAAGTTTGTTTCTGTGTCCATTGAAAGGTAGGGTCAGAAAGGAGATTTAAATTGAGTTCACATTTGCTGAGCATCTATAAATTGCATACCTGATGTCTTCGTGTATTTATCTCATTAAATCATCATGACATCTCTGAGATAAGAGGTATGATACCTGCTGTGAAGATGGGGAAACTGAGGCTTAGGGAGACTACTTCTCAGGGATGGTAAGTGGAAGAGCTGGGAGTAAAATGCAAGTCCCTGACTCAGCAAGCACTCTTTCTACTTATACTACAACCCAGAAAATATGTTCCCTGCCTGACTCTGTGTTTCAGGGATAATTGATTTGACAGCGGTGTGACAGTACTTACACAAAACTCACTTTGTGAGAACCAGCCCCTCCTTCCTCAAATTCTGCTGACAGGGAACAGATAATTATAATGCTGGGTGGAAAGTGCCATGGTAGGTATAAACCCAGACAAAGGGCGACAGCCTACCTGGGAAGAAGGGGTCATGGAAGAACTTTCTGAATGGTGATGACACAGGTAAATTTTGAAAAATGAATAAGAGCCAGATCTAAGTGGGTGGGGATAGTGGAGAAGTAAACATTTTAGGTAGAGGGAGCAGCATAAAGTCAGTCACAGGATTTGAACATCTTTCCATTTTTTTGTTGTTACTGTGTTCATATACTAGGTTCAAGCATTCTGCTTGTGACTGTGTCCTTTTGAAATTTTAAAAGGTAAATGAAAAAAAAGGTGTTTTAAGCATTTTTCTTCTCTTCTCTCTCCTTTTAGGCCCGAAATGCAGAAAAGGCCATGTAAGTATCAACTCGATTTTGTCTGTAGATTTTATGTAACTTAATTACCACTACAGAACTCTTGTTGTGTTTGGTCCTTTTGGTGTTTGAGCCTTTTGGTAGCTGTTTCTTTCTCTACATGTGTTAAAATGGTATTCTCATATTTGCCCATTTGTTTTCCCCATTAGTGTTTTCGGTCAGCTCCCAGAACTTATACTGGATGAACATTCGTTCATCTGGGGATGGTGCAGGGGCTGTGAGAGTGACAGCTGGGGTACCCCATGATATTAGTCTTTAACATCTAGTTGTGTTGCTCACTACAATGTATGATAAGTAGAGTTTTCCCACAGTCCTTGAATGCAGTGTAAGTAAAATAGATGCTTGGGTGTTCAAAAACACAAATGGTCTTATGAGCCCTAATCTTTGGAACATGGAAGCCCATAACTTCTCTGTGGTTACTTAATTACTATATATATATGAAGGACATTAAGTGTGGTCATGAGCAGATTTAGCCCATCCAAGAACTTGGGTGATAAGAAATCTGTGAATAGGGTCTGATGGAGTCTTCTCTTTTCCTGGTAGGACGGCCTTAGCAAGATTTCGCCAAGCTCAGCTGGAAGAGGGAAAAGTGAAGGTTGGTGTAAATCTTCATGAACGTAAAGTATCCAGAGCAAATGCAGTGAAAGTCCCTCCTGAGCAGACTTCCAACTCCACATCTTCCTATTTCTCGTCTATACTTGCTGACACTCTTAGGAGTCTATACACTGGAATTTCAGGTGTATCTCTATAGCTGGGGCAGTGTGATGATCTGGCTGCTTGTTCTTCTGTCTCCTCTGTGATATGATGATTGGCTTCCCATATTATCCCAGCTCTGTCTAATATTGAATAATAGGAAGTGGAGTGTACTGTGGGGAACATCTCTAAGCTGAAACAAGTAAATGATCTCAACTAATGGAGACTCAGCCAGGTTAGGGATAATATATACCATTCTTTGAATATTTTTGTTTGTTTTTTTAAATTATGCACACACACATACATATATGCAGTCATGTATCACTTAACAATGGGGATCCATTCTGAGAAACACATTGTTAGGTGATTTTGTCATTGCGTGAATATCACAGAGTGTACTTACACAGACCTAGGTAGCATAGCCTATACTATCCTATACGGTAGTAATCTTATGGGACCACCATCATATATGTGGTCTTTCATTTACCGAAACATTGTTATGTGGCGCGTGACTGTACATATGTTTCTTCTAAACACTGATAGCTATCTTTTTTGTTTTTTAAATTTGAGGTAATATTTGCTTATCACATTATATAAATTTCAGGTTTACATCATTATATTTCGATTTCTGTGAAAACTGTAGCATGTTCACCACCATCTAATTGCCATTCATCACTGTACACAGGTGCCCTTTTACCTCTTTTGCCCTACCCTCTCCTGCCTTCCTCTCTGATAGCCACCAATCTAATCTCGGTGTCTATGTGTTTGTTCATTGTCGTTGTTGTTGATCTTCCACGTATGAGTGAAATCATATGATACTTGGTTTTCTTCCTCTGACTTATTTTGCTTAACATAATGACCTCAGGGTCCATCTGTGTTGTCACAATGGCAAGATTTCATCTTTTTTTTTTTTCCTAAGATTTTATTTTTCCTTCTCCGCAAAGGCCCCCAGTACATACTTGTATATTTTTTTTTAGTTCTGGGTCCTTCTAGTTGTGGCATGTGGGATGCCGCTTCAGCATGGCTCGATGAGCAGTACCAGATGCGCATCCAGAATCTGAACCCTGGCCCGCTGAAGCGGAGCACGTGAACTTAACCGCTTGGCCACGGGGCTGGCCCCACATCTTTTTTTTTGGCTGAGGAAGATTCGCCCTGAGGTAACATCTGTGCCCATCTTCCTCTATTGTTTATGTAGGTTGCTGCCACAGCACGGCCACTGACAGACAAGTCGTGTATGTCTGCACCTGGGAACCGAACCTGGGCCACCAAAGCGGGGCAGACCGAACTTAATCACTAGGCCATGGGGCTGGCCCCAAGATCTCATCTTTTTTTTATGGCTGAGTAGTAATCCATTGTGTATATATACCACATCTTCTTTTATCTATTCATCCATTTATGGACAGACACTTAGGTTCTTTCCAAGTGTTGGCTATTGTGAATAATGCTACAATGAAGGAGTGCATATATCTTTTCAAATTGGTGTTTTTCTGTTCTTTGGATAAATACCCAGAAGTGGAATAGCTGGATCACGTGATAGTTCTATTCTTGGTTTTTCAAAGAATCTCCATACTCTTTTCCATAGTGGCTGCACCAATTTGCATTCCCACCAGCGGTGTTGGAGGGTTCCCTTTTCTCCACACCCTTTCCAACACTTGTTATTTCTTGTCTTTTTAATAATAGCCATTCCGACTGGCGTAAGGTGATAGCTCACTGTCGTTTTGATTTGCATTTCCCTAATGATTAGTGCTGTTGAACATCTTTTTATGTGTCTGTTGGCCATCTGTATATCTTCTTTGGAAAAATGTTTTTTAAGATCCCCTGCCCATTTTTTAATTGGGTTTTTGTTTTTTGTTTTTGTTGAGTTGTTATGAGTTACTTATATATTTCAGATATTAAACTCTTATCAAATATATGATTTGCAAATATCTTCTCCCAGTTGTCAGGTTGTCTTCGTTTTGTTGATGGTTTCCTTTGCTGTGCAGAAGCTTTTTAGTTTGATGTAGTCCCATTTGTTTATTTTTTCTTTTATTTTCTCTGCTTGAGCAGATAGGGTATTCGAAAATATACTGCTAAGGCCAATCTCAGAGAGCTACTGCCTGTGTTTCCTTCTGGGAATTTTATGGTTTTATGTCTTAGATTCAAGTCTTTAATCCATTTTGAGTTAATTGTAGTGTATGGTTTAACGTAATGGTCTCCTTTTGCACATGGCTGTCTAGTTTTCCCAACAGCATTTATTAAAGAGACTTTCCTTTCTCCATTCTATGTTCCTGGCTCCTTTGTTGAAAATTAGCTGTCCGTAGATGTGTGGGTTTATTTCTGGGCCTTTGATTCCATTCCATTGATATGTGTGTTTTAAGTTGTTTATAGTTATTCAGTGTACTAGATACAATGCAATGAATGATTTTGCCTGATAGTTGTTTCCTAAGGAAAGATTGTAGAGTGAGGTTTAAGGCTTGATGAAGATCATCTGGAACTGCAACTTCAAATGTGTTTAGACCGTTAGACGCCTTAGACTTTAAGCCTGAATCAGTTGAATGTTGCATGAAGCTTGTAACTTCATATAGTACAGTGGCTACATGTATATTTTGCTTCTCCTTAGGAGCGAAGACCCTTTCTCGCCTCAGAATGTACTGAGCTGCCCAAAGCTGAGAAGTGGAGACGACAGGTAAATTCTGGGTGAATCTGATCTTAGTAGAAGTAACAACTCTCTCAATACTTATTATCTAAATGACTCTTAAACCAGAATTCTAAGTATTTTTAGTTACTAATTTTGAATTATATTTTTCCTGTGCTTTCAGATATATTCAGAAAGCATAAAAATGTATTACATTTTATTTTTTTCACAGATCATTGGAGAGATCTCTAAAAAAGTGGCTCAGATTCAAAATGGTAAGCAGTTTGTCTGCTTAAATTGCTTGATTGTCAAATCCACATTTAGACTTGGGAACTTGAGCATTCCTTTCTCAATAATCAATAGAACAAGTAGAAAATCAGTAAGGACATAGAAGAACTAAACAACAGTACCCATCAATTTGACCGAAGTGATGTTTATAGAACACTCCACCTAGCAACACTCCACCCAATGTGAAAGAATACACTTTCTTTTTTTAAGAGCACATGGAACATTCACCAAAATAGGATATATTCTTGACTATAATCCAATGTTAGCAAACTTAAAATAATTGAAGTCTGGGGCTGGCCCCGTGGCTGAGTGGTTAAGTTTGTGCGCTCCGCTGCAGGCGGCCCAGTGTTTCGTCGGTTCCAATCCTGGGCGCAGACATGGCACTGCTCATCAAACCACGCTGAGGCAGCATCCCACATGCCACAACTAGAAGGACCCACAGCTAAGAATATACAACTGTACTGGGGAGTTTTGGGGAGAAAAAGGAAAAAAATAAAATCTTAAAAAAAAAAAATTGAAGTCATACACAGTATGTTCTCTGATTACATTACACTTAATGTAGAAGTCAACAACAGGAAGATATCTGGAAAATTCCTCAATACTTGGCCATTAAACAGTAAACTTCTATCCAACCCATGTGCCAAAGAGGAAATCACAAGGAGATTAAAGAACATTTTGAATTGAATGAGAATGAAAACATAATGTCAGAATTTAGGGGATGAAAAAATTTATGATATTTAGCTAAGCAGTGCTTAGATAAAAATTTATAGCACTAAAATAATAGGAAATAAGAAAGGTCTTAAATCGTTATCTAAGGTTCTACTCTAAGAAACTAAAAAAAGCAAATTAAGTCTGAAGTAAACAGAAGGAAATAATAAAGGTAAGAGCAGAAATTAATTAAATTGAAAACAGAAGATCAATAGAGAAAAGAAAAGCTGGTTCTTCCAAAAGATCAATAAAATTGATAAATTTGTAGTCAGACTAAAAAAACACAAATCACGAACATTAAGAATGAAATTGGGAACATCACTACAGATTTTACAGATATTAAAAGGACGATAAGGGAATATTACAAACAAGTTTATTCCCATAATTCAACCACTTAGATGAAACGGGCCATTCCTTGAAAAAGACAACCCGCTAAAGCTCACCTAAGAGAAGTGGTTCTTAGCCAGGCGTAATTTCACCCCCCAGGGGACATTTGGTAGCATGTGGAGAAATTTTGATGGTGACAACTGGAGGGGTGCTACTGGCATCTAGTGGATAGAGGCCAGGGAGCTGCTAAGCATCCTACAAAGAATTGACGCAAAACGTCAGTTGTGCTGCTGTTTAGAAACACTGTTCAAGAAGAAATAGAGAACCTGAGTAATCCTATATCTATTAAAGAAGTTGAATTCATGGTTAAAAGCTTTCCAACAAAGAAAACTCCAGGCTCATTTCGCTTCACTAGTCAGTTCCACCAAACATTTAAGGAGTATCAATTATATACAGTTTCTTCTAGCAAATTGAAGAAGGAACACTTCCTAATTCATCTTATAGGTTTTAGGATGTGTTACATTGATACTAAAATCAGAAAAAGACGTTATAAGAAAAGAAGAACTATAGACCAATATTCCTTATGAAGGTAACATAGAAGTTCTCAACAAAATATTAGTAAATCAAATTCAGCAATTTATAAAAAGGATAATACATCACAACCAAGTGGAATTTATCCTGGGAATGCAGGACCGACTCGACATTTAAAGATTAATTAATATAATTCACTATATCAGCATTCTAAAGAAGGAAAACCATATTATCATCTTAGTAGATGCAGAAAAACTATGTGACAAAACTTAACCTTCATTCATGACAAAACTCTCAGCTAACTGGGATTAAAAAGGAACTTCATTATCCTGATAAAGCACTTCTACAAAAAAGCCTGTAGCCAGAATCATACCTAATGGTGAAAGATTGAATGCTGTCCTTGTAATATCAGGAAGAAGGCAGAGACAACCATTCTCACCTCTTCTGTTCAGTATTGTACTGGGATTCCTAGGCAGTGCAGTAAAGCAAGAAAAGGAAATAAAAGATACACAGATTGGAAAGGAAGAAATAAAATGCCATATTCTCAGGTGATATAATTTTCTGTGTAGAAAATTCCCAAGGAATTTACAGAAAGATTTCTTGAATGAATAATTGAGCTTAGCAAGGTCACAGAATAGAAGGTCAATACACAAAAATCAATTCTGTTTTTATATACTAGCAATGAAATTTGAAACTAGAACATTTTTTTAAGAGTGGTATTTACAAAAGCACCAAAATACAGAAATACTTAGATACAAATCTAACAAAATATATGTGTGATCCGTATGATGAAAACTGAAACACTGGTGAAGGAAATCAAAGAAGACCCAAAGAAATGGAGAGACATACAGTGTTCCTGGATGGGAAGACTCAACATAGGAAAGATGTCAGGTTCTTTTCTTTTCAACTACTGTCACAATCAAAATCCCAACAGGATTTTTTTGTATATATTGATGAACTGTTTCTAAAATTTAAATGGAAAGGCAGAGGAACTAGAATGGCCAAAACAATTTTGAAACAGAACAAAATTGTAGTAATCATACTGTTTAATTTCAAGATTTAATTAAAGCTACAGTATTTTTTTTTTAAGATTTTATTTTATTTCCTTTTTCTCCCCAAAGCACCCCAGTACATAGTTGTATATTCTTAGTTGTGTGTCCTTCTAGTTGTGGCATGTGGGACGCTGCCTCAGCGTGGTTTGATGAGCAGTGCCATGTCTGCGCCCAGGATTCGAACCGACGAAACACTGGGCTGCCTGCAGCGGAATGCGCGAACTTAACCACTTGGCCACAGGGCCAGCCCCAAAGCTACAGTATTAATGTGATTTGGTGAAAGAGACACATAGACCAATGGAACAGAATACAAAGTCCAGAAGTAGAGCCACGCATATGACTTTTGACAAAGGTACAAAAGCAATTCAGTGGAGAAAGGGAGGGATGCTCCCTTAGAAACAGCCGTACGGTGTTTCATTTCAATATCAGGGTTGTTTATTGTTTTCCCTCTGTGGTAAGTTGCCCCAGCTTCTCTCAGCTCTTGGCCTCCGTAAACAACACCTCAGCAAGATCCCTTGTGGACATCCCTTTAAATTAGTCCCTTCGCCGTGATTCTCAGGCTGTAGTCTTTGCCAAAAGATTTTCCCATTTAGCAACACATTGTTTTCCTGAAAGGACTATACCGACACAGAATGCTGCCAGGCACCAATGCCTATGCCAGCCTCACCACCTCTGCTGGCATTGGATGCTGAGTTTCCTGAGCTCCACGATTACGCTGTTTTAATTGTTGTGTAAATAGAACTGCAGGATTGCTTCAGTTTAAATTTCTTCTGTTGCTAATGTGGGAGTTTTCTTTGAGGATGTTTTTTCCCCTACGCTGGTGGGAACCATATTTATAATCCTTGTCCTATGATTTATTTGGGTGTTGATGGTTACTCTTGTAAATTTAAATGAGTATTTTCGTGTTGTGTACCTTTGTAGGTTTTAACATTCAATTTTAAGGGTATGACATTGAGTGGTATTTTGAAAAAATTATCATTTTGTTTTCTAGCTGGTTTAGGCGAATTCCGAATTCGTGACCTGAATGATGAAATTAACAAACTGCTAAGAGAGAAAGGACACTGGGAGGTCCGGATCAAGGAACTAGGCGGTCCTGATTATGGAGTAAGTGAGCAGCAGCCCAGAGGCTCTTGGGAGTGAGTGAGTGAGCTGCTTTGGCAAGCTGGGTAGGTCCTGTCCAACTTTGCATCCGCTGTAGCTCCCAGCCCTTGCCTGCCAGAGTAGGCACTCGGGAAATGAAAGAAGGCATAAAAGTGCCTGTTCCACGTAGACAGGAAACCTGTCCAGGGATGGGTCGGATGAGGCTTAAAGACTCCACAGCAAAGGCCTCAGAGCAGACTGGGCATCTGCCTTTACCAGCCAGATGTTCTTGAGTAAGCCACTTAATCTCTCTGGACCTCTTACGTAAAATGACATGACCCTCTCACATCCTTCTCTGAACTCCTTGGGAATTGGGGCAACCATTATTGGATCTTTACCTGAAGGGACGTTGGGGGCACTCTCTTCTTTCCTTTCTTTGGACTCTTAGAAATGCGATACCCTAGAACAGTGGCTTTCAAGCTGTTAGGACCATGACCCATTGTAAAACAGACACACACAGGGGCCAGTCCCGTGGCCAGGTGGTTAAGTTTGCACACTCTGCTTCAGTGGCCTGGGGTTCGCCAGTTCGGATCCTGGGCGTGGACCTACACACCGCTCATCAAGCCGTGCTGTGGCAGCATCCCACATGGAGGAACTAGAATGACTTAAAACTAAGGTATGCGACTATGTACTGGGGCTTTGGGGAAAGAAAATAAAAAACAGGAAGATTGGCAACAGATCTTAACTCAGGGCCAGTCTTCCTCACCAAAAAGCATACCTTTAAAACACGCACACACACACTTTGGATCACAACCCAGTACACACAAAAATGTGTTGAAAAAATACTTAGTATGTGTTGATGCACTTTTATATTTTCTATTCTGTTCTATTTTGATTTTTAAAAAATTAATGATTATGACCCACTAATGAGTCTCAACTTTGAAAAATACTGCCCCACGTCCTGCCCCATCTACCCATTTGTGAAGAGATCTACCTCAGTTCATTTGAACAAGAAGTTCAATCAGTGGGCTGTAATATATTATGTAAGAAACACATGCAGTGTTTCTATGTGATTGTCTTTTTACCTTTATGAAAGTCTTAACACAAAACCGTGATTCTTAGTTTAGTATCTGATGTAAAAGAGAAGCATTTATTCTTCCTGTTGCAGTAGGAAAGGCACTCATGCTTCTTGAGCACCTGTTCTGTTCTAGGCACTGCCCTAGGAACTTTCTCATTTAACTTCTTCAGCAGTTCTGTGATGATGATTTTTTTTTTTTTTTGAGGAAGATTAGCCCTGAGCTAACATCTGCTGTGAATCCTCCTCTTTTTTGCTGAGAAAAACTGGCCCCGAACTAACATTCCTGCCCATCTTCCTCTACTCTATATGTGGGACGCTTCCACAGCATGGCTTGACAAGCAGTGCGTAAGTTCACACCCGGGATCCGAACCACTGAACCCCGGGCCTCCAAAGTGGAGTGTGTGCACTTAACCACTGCAGCTCCGGGCCGGCCCCTGTGATGGTGATTTCGTTTCCTGTCGGACTGCTTTACAGTAATGCAGAAGTTTATTAACCTTCCTAGAAAAGTGGCCTCAGAAGCATGACAAAATTAATTTGTAAGATATTCTTAAATTCCACCACCCAAAGTCAACATTAATGTTTTTATATGTTTCTTTCTAGACTTTTTTTAATGCTTAAGAATTTATTTCATTTTCTATGTATAAAAGTAATACATTTAGAGTTTCAGTTTTACAAGATGAGAAGAGTTATGGAAATGGATGGTGGTGATGGTTGCATGACATTAGGAATATATTTAATACCACTGAACTGTGCCCTTAAAAATGGTTGATGGTAAATTTTATGTGTATTTTACCACAATAAAAAAAAAGAAAAAGTTATACATTAAGTTGAGAAAAGTATAAGCTGGAGAACAGCAGTGATAATCCCATTGCTTAGGTTCAGCCAGTTGGATATTGCCTTCCATCGTTTCCCTGTGAATGCCGTAATAGATCATACTGTGTGTATGGTTTTGGTTCTAGAGTTTGTATTTCTTTTCAAAATTGTAACATTGATTATATAAACAGTATGTACTTTTATGCAAAAAAAGAAAAATTATATAAAAATTATAAAATGTTAAAAATTTTGTGAATATTATATTCTACGTATGATATAGAATATATTATAGATTTTCTTACCAGCCCAAAATAACTGCTATTGACATTTTCTATTTGTCTTCCTGGCATTTTTTTCTATGCATATATATGTTTATTTTTACAGCTGTTGGTTCATATTCTGACTATATGCTTTGTTCACTTAATGGTATATCAGGAGCGTATTTTCATGTCAATATATAACCATTTATATAATTATTTTAAAAAGCATTTTTGAGCTCACAAAAAGTTGCAACAAAGTATGGAGAATTCCTATATACCCTTTATGCAGACTTAACCAGTTTTTAACATTTTGCTTACTTTCCTTTATCATTTTCTGTGTGTACCTTGAGATTTATCTTTTCTGAACCATTTGAAGCTTAATTACATCATGGTCCTTAATACTTAATAATTCTATGTGTATTTCTTAATCAGAACGCTCTCTTTTATAACCATGGTAAAGTTAGCAAGTTTAAGACATTTAACTTTGATACAGTCATTTTATCTAGTCCACTTGGCTGTTTTGTCAATTTTCCCAATAATGTCCTTTATAACATTTCCCCCTCAATCACAGGACCTAGTCCAGCATCACATACCACATGTAGTTGTCAACATTAATTTTTGTTTTTTTGTGGGTTTTTTTTGAGGAAGATTAGCCCTGAGCTAACATCCACTACCAATCCTCCTCTTTTTGTTGGAGAAGATTGGCCCTGAGCCAGCATCCATGCCCATCTTCGTATACTTTATATGTGGGACCCTTGCCACAGCATGGCTTAATAAGCAGTGCATAGGTCTGTGTCCAGGATCTGAACTGACAAATCCCAGGCCGCCAAAGCAGAGTGCATGAACTTAACTGCTACACCACTGGGCTGGCCCCCCAACATCATCATTTTTAATGGATAGATTTTCATCCTCTGGACATAAGTCAATATAAGAGTTTCATAAGAACCATCATCTTTAAGGTCTAGAATATATTCCATCTGTGACCATGCTACAGTTCACTTAAATCATCCTTCTACTGTTAGGTATTTAGGTTGATTTTTAAGGGATAAAAAAATGTATCTAAATATTTCTCTGTACATAAATATTTTCCATGGTTAGCATTATTATCTTAAAATATATTTGCAAATATGGAAATAAATAGTGGCTTTAAGGATCTGATCCACCTTCTCTTTTTCCTTCCCAATAAGAAAGTTGGCCCTAAAATGCTGGATCATGAAGGGAAAGAAGTCCCAGGAAATCGAGGTTACAAGTACTTTGGAGCAGCAAAAGATTTGCCTGGTGTTAGAGAGCTGTTTGAAAAAGAACGTAAGTAATTAATATTTGTGAAGGTTTTAGCCTCTAATTCTTGGTAATCATCATAACAGTAGACATGCTGTGTCCTAGGTGCTCTTCCTGTATTATTTCTTAGCTGCACAACAGCCCTGTAGTATCAGAATTATTATTCCCAGATTTTAAATGAGAAACCTTAAGCACCGGCAACTGAAGTCACAGACCCGGGATGCAGAACTGGAGCTAGAAAGTGAATCTAAAATTGACTGGTGCCGGATTCCACGCTCTTTGCACGTGCCAGTCTCTCAGTCTGAATGAAGAGTTTCTGTATTTGAAATTCCCCAAAATTATCTGGGCAGGGTCTGAAGTTCATTGAATCAAGTTCGTGTTTTAGTTATTATTTGAAAAAACTATAACTGAAGGACAAGCAAAACCTTGGGCCAAACCCCAGTATATAAAAATGGAGAAAAGTGGAGCTACTCTGTGTGAATCCAAGCCAGGCGCCCTCACGCTCCTGCCTTTTCCCTCCGTGGCCCTGGGAACTTCAGCCAAACCTCGGCCTTCCAACATGCAATTGGAAACCAGTAGTCTGGAGTTTTTGTGTATTTTAATTTTGCCTTTTAGAAAAGTAGTCTAAACACTTTATAGAAAAAAGTGTGAAAAGCAGAGAATGATAACAGTATTCTCACCACTGTTGGCATTCTGCTCCGTTTCCTTTCAGTGTTTTGTTTGTTTTTTTTTTAATTTATTTTTTTGAGGAAGATTAGCCCTGAGCTAACATCTGCTGCCAATCCTCCTCTTTTTCCTGAGGAAGACTGGCCCTGAGCTAACATCCGTGCCCATCTTCCTCTACTTTATATGTGGGACGCCTGCCACAGCATGGCTTGCCAAGTGGTGCCATGTCTGCACCCAGGAACCAAACCAGTCAACCCCGGGCCGCCAAGAAGCAGAAGTGCGAACTTAACCGTTGCGCCCCTGGGCTTGCCCCTCAGTGAGTTTTTCTATTTGTTTAAAAATATAATTCTACCTTTATTTAACTCTGCTTATTTTTAAATTCATTATGCCGCAACTGGTTTTGTATACATCGTTAACATCACTTAAAAATAGTTCATGGTTTAAATATCATGCCGTTCATTTTGAAAGCAATATAATTTTATTAGAAGTTGTAAAATACAGAAAGTCAGAAAAAAACCAGCCACATGTTCACAGCTTGTAGATGAAGATTGTTGACATGTTGGGGCAAATTGCCTTCCAGTTTTTAAAGGGCTATGCATGGGGGCTCCTAAATTGAAGTTATCCTGTATATGTTACTTTTTTTTTGCATACACATTTTTTCTAAATTTATTTTTATTCTAGCCATGGATCTTGTTTTTAATCAGGAAAGTGTATGAGTCAGTCTTAATGAGTATAATTCAGACAGCGCAGTCTCCTTGGTCCCCCATCCCTGTCTCCCTGCTAAAGATAACTGGTAACCGTTATTCTCTGGTCCGTTCCCTTCCAGGCCTTTTTCCATGCACTTCTGTGCTTATTGTATCAGCTAAACTTCATCATTGTAAGTGACAGATGACTCAACCCCAGTTCACATCAGGCAGAAAAATGGATTTATTGGCTCACATAACTGACAAGTGCATAGTTTGCTTTCAGGAGTGGCTGATTCCAGGTCACATTTCTCCATGTTGCAATTTTGACTTCCACTGTATAAACTTTTTTCTCTGTCTAGCGCTCTGCTTGTGGTGGCAAGTTGTCCATCATTGACTTAAACATTTTGTCTCTCTCAGCAAGAGATTTTTCCCCCCAAGCAGTTCAAGCAAAATTCCCAGAATTGAGTCTAGTTGGCTTTAACTGGATCATAGTTCCGTCCTTAAACCACTCCGTGTGGCTGGGAGGCATGCAGTGCTTCAAGCCAGCCAGGTTTCAGTTCTGTACCCTGTCCTGAGTGCAGCCAATAGAGTCTTGGGATGTGGACCCAGAGTGGCGGAGCTGTGGACAGAGTTGCTGTGACCAACATCAGGGTGACAGGTGGAGGCCTGCCAAAACACAGTGGCTCTCCCAGACCTGTTGTATTGTGATGTCCATTGACCCTCCCATGGTTCTGCTTAGAGCTCTGTTAGTGGATGTGAAGGATTAAGGAGTATCATGGTGTGGATTAATCATACTTCATGGAATCATTACTCCTTTGATACAACTTTAGTGATGTCCAGTTTTTCATACATATAAAATTTTTGCTGATCTGATGGGTGAAAGAAATATTATTTTTATTTTTTATTTCCCTGATTACTAAAGAAATTGATAATGAATTCAGCTGCTAATTGAAATTTTTATACATTTGAACTTTTTTCTTCTTAAATTATCAGCTTTTATTCTTTGACCAATCTATTGGGTTTTCATTTCCCTTTTGATTTTCAAGAATTACTGAAATATCCTGACTAGTAATCCTTAGTCTGAAAATATTTTCTTCAGGACTTTCTCATTTTATCTTTTTTGTTTTTTTATAGTTTCTTTTTTCTCATCTATATACTTACGTTTTCCCATCATAATGTCACTAGACATTATGGCATTTCCTATGTTATCAAAGCACCTTGTGAAACAGCACTCTTGGGGCTGTGGGATACCCTGCAACTTACAATCGTAAGATATTCCAAGTTTTTACTACTATATAAATAATGCTATGATGCACATCTCTGTGCATAAAGCTTTGACAGCTTCTTTTTTTCCTTAGGATAGATTCTTTTTTTTTTTTTTTTTTTGGAGGAAGATTAGCCCTGAGCTAACTCCTGCCAATCCTCTTTTTGCCGAGGAAGACTGGCCCTGAGCTAACATCCATGCCTATCTTCCTCTACTTTACATGTGGGACGCCTGCTACAACATGGTGTGCCAAGTGGTGTCATGTCCGCACCCGGGATCCGAACTGGCAAACCCCGGGCTGCCAAAGTGGAATGTGTGCACCTAACTGCTGGGCCACTGGACCGGCCCCCAAGGGTAGATTCGTAATGGACTATATGGGTCACAGTTTTCAATGTTGATGTAAAAAAGGTTGGTATCATTTACATAATCCTACTACTAGTATAGAGCAGTGCCTGTTTCATGGTATTTTCACGAATACACGTACTACGTGCCTGTGTAACACTGTGTAGGGAGAAGGCTTGAGTGTGATTGTGATGAGGCATTCAGCTAAGTTGGTGCTGTTTTTTTTTAGCTCTTCCTCCTCCAAGAAAGACACGCGCTGAACTCATGAAGGCGATTGATTTTGAATACTATGGGTACCTAGATGAAGACGATGGTGTTATTGTACCTTTGGAACAAGAATATGAAAAGAAGCGTAGGTCTCCGGGCATTTCACTTCATCGTCGATGGCACCTAGTTTCTGTTCTCTCCTTTGAAAACGGGTTTTTCAATAGTGCTTTATGCCAGAAGGGAGTTTTCTTCGTTGCTAGTGGTTTTTAGAGGGAGTGGTCTGCTAGTGACCTAACCTCCAATAACTCTGAAGCAGTCAGATCCGTCTTGGGTCAGAAGCAGCAGGTTGGGGAAGCCACAAGAGCAGCATCTGATGTGGTCCCTGTGCGCCAGAGTTCACTATCTAAACTCCTTCCCAAACTGGCCTTTCTTGAAATCATGAAATGGTGCCCATTTAGGTACCTTTTAGATCTGCTTTAAACACAGCTGACAGGTTGTCACTGTAGAGCAAGATGGGTGTCCCTCTCTGAGTGCCTCCTCTGTGCCAAGCACTGTGCTAAGCCTTTAGTGGACATTCTCTCAAAGCCTCATGACGACCCTGTGAGGCATCAGTGATTGCTGATTGTCATGTAGTGCATCGAGCTGGGGCTTTGCAAGCAGGTGTTCAGGAGTCTGAGCTCTTTTCCAGCATGCTGTGCCACTGCATCTCCATTTTCATGTGGGTGTGCAGGAACCCACTCAGGTGGTTGAACTGGGAGGGGATCTGGGGACGTCCCCTAAAAAGCTGCCTTGTAGCTGTTGTAAGACCACACTGCTGTTCACGTCCGATTCCCACCCACCAGGGCAGAATGAAGGGTGTCCCTTTCCAGAGAGGACGTCTTGCCCTTGCCCTGCATAGTATTTAAAGCTTATTTAGAGACCAGAGTAAATAACACCTGCTCTCCCCTGTCTTCAGTCAGAGCTGAATTAGTGGAAAAGTGGAAAGCAGAGAGAGAGGCCCGGCTAGCAAGAGGAGAAAAGGAAGAGGAGGAGGAAGAGGAGGAAGAGATCAACATCTATGCTGTTACGGAGGAGGAGGTACTGGGTGGGCAGCGAGGGTCTCCCTGGCACTCAACTGTCCTCTGCTCACTCTCTGAAGCCTGTGCCTCAGGAGGATTGGGTGGAGTGGTAGGGAAGAATGTCAGCTTACAGACCAGGGGTCACTGTCAAAGCCCAGGTCTGCCCCTACCTCCAGCTGTGGCCTCAGCCTCTCCTGGAAGATAGAGATGAAGATCACCTCCTAGGATCACAGGGAGGGTTCCAGAAAGGAATGGCTGTGAGACCAGTTGGTAAACTGTGATTTACACCAGGATTACTTTCTTGTTTCTTGGAGATAGGCCCTATGGACTATACTGGAATTAGGTTTATAAACACATTTGAAGCCATATGAGTTTTAGCCCGTGACTTCATCATTTCTTTTTAAATGGCAGTGCCAGTAGCTCTTTTCTAGTCTTAACACCCCGTTTTACAGACAGAAACCAGCCCAGAGTAGAGAAGGGACTTACTCAGAGTCACAGTTGGGAATGGAGCTGTGATCCTTGCCTCTCAGGCAGAGCCTATGGCTTCTGCCTCCTCTGCAGGGCCTGTTGTATGCAGGCCTGGCTCCTTGGATAGGTCCAAAATGGAGCTGATTTGCTGGACTGAGAAAGGGGAGTGGAATCAGCCATGTATAGACAATGGGTCAGGTCCTAGTGAGGGGCTTGCCATGACATCACTGGCAAGGAAGCAGGCTCAGAGAGGTTCAGTGACTTAGTTAATATCACACAGAATATAGCAGACCTGAGGTTCATGCTCAGGTCTGGCTGATGAGCGGTGGGACAGTGATGCATTTGAAGCAGGATGGCAGCATGCCCTAGCAGGATTTTCTTTAGGTGCAAGTATCCATCTGCTTTTTCAGTGGATTTTTGTTTAGTTAGTGGCTGCTGTGAGCCAGGCTCATGCTGGCGCACGGCAGTGAACAAGCTCTGCTTGTAGCTCAAAGTCCGGGGGAAGACAGTTCCGTAAGCAGACACAGTGGAAACTGCAGCTGTGACGGGAGCTCTGAGATAGGAGCATAGTGCAGGGAGAGCCTGTGAAGGCTTTCCTGGGGAGGTGACCCTTCAGCTGAAATCTGGAAGACGAGGAAGGGTTAACCAAGTAAAGAGTCAGTAAGAAAAAAGTGTCCAGGCAGGGGGAACAGTGTCTTCCAAAAGACTCCTTGGGCATGTGAGGAACAGGTGATAGGCCAGTGTGGCTGGAGCTTAGTGTGTGGGCTGTTGGGTCTGAGAGGAGGTGAGAGAGGATTGAGGTGGGGTGAGCTAGAGTTGGTGAAGAGAGTTTTTCTTTATCGTAAGAGCAATGGAAAGCCACTAAGGATTTTTTTTCCTTAAATAATTATAGATTTACAGGAAGTTGCAAGGGTAATAGAGAGAAGGCCTGTGCATCGTTCACCTAGTTTCCCCCAGTGGTTACATCGTACATAGTTATGGTCCAATACCAAACTAGGAAATTGACTTGGTGTAATGAGCGTGTAGAGTTCTGTCTTTCATCACATGTGGATTCCTGTAAGCACCACTGCGATCAAGATATAGAACTGTGCGCCCCTCAAGCTGCCCCTTTATAGTCCCACCTCCTCCACCTGCCATCCCTCACTCCTGGCAGACTCTAATCTGTTCTCCATCTCTATAATTCTGTCATTTTGAGAATGTTTTATAAATGGAATCATACTGTGTGTCACCTTCTGAGATGGCCTTTACTCTCAGCACAGTGCCCTTGAGATCCACCCAAGTTGTTGAATTCAAGAATTCATTCCTTTTTATTGCTGAGTAGTCCATATACTGAAAAGTACGTAAGTTGTAAGTGTTTAGGTCAGTGAATTTTCACAAGCTGAACATCTCCATATAGCAAATAGCAGGTGAAGAAACAATACGACCAGCACCCCACAAGCTTGCTTCTGCCCCTGGGTGTCACTCTTCTGAACTCTGATAACCCTTACGTTTTCACCTGTTTCTGAACTTGATATATCAGTGGAATCACGCATATGCTTTTGTGTCGAACGGTCATGGGTATTTGCTTAGTGTCCAGTTTGGGGCTCTGGCCAGTAGGGCTGCTGTGGATTTCCTTGCTCACTGCTGCTGTTTGAGTCGACACTAAGGCGTGGAATTTCCAGGTCGTAGGGTGGGCATGTGTTTAGCTTCAGTGGATACAGCCAAATGGTTTCCCAAAGTGTTTGGACCAGTTTCGCTCCCGCCAGCAGCGATCTGAGTTTCCACCACAGAGTTTCTAGCCAGCGCCCCTGGCAGCTGGTGGGGAAGAGGATGCCACAGGGCATCTGGCACTGGCACAGTAGCCCCACCACCTCACAGAGTCCTCGCTCCTCCTATTTCCAGTATTATTTCCGTGTTATTTCCTTAGGTCATTAGTAATTGCTGTTGACTCATGTAGCCTCTGAGTTGATCTTTTTTTATGTATGGTACATTTTTAAAATTTAATTAAAAAAATAATGTATTCAGAAGATTCAAAAACCAAAAAGTATATAAAAATGTTCAACAAAGATTCTCTTTCCTAGCCCCGTCCTCCACCCACTGAGCTCTCACTGCTGTCACTAGTTTCTGTCCTTATTTTCTCTCCTCATATAAAAGGCGGCAGAGTGCACACAGTGCTCTGCCGCTTGTTGTCTTTAATGACGTGTCTTGGGTGTCTTTCTGTGTGAGTGCAGAGCTTACTCATTCCCTTTGTTCCTGTTAAGCGGCTGCGGGGTAGTGAATGTTATAGTGGTACCAACATTTATTTAACGGTCTCCTACTCACAGAAATTTGGTTGTTCTCTGTTTGTAGTCCGATGAGGAAGGCATCCAGGAGAAAGGAGGGGAAGACGGGCAGCAGAAGTTCATCGCTCACGTCCCAGTGCCATCTCAGCAAGAGGTAGGGGAGAGGCCAGGAGTTCCCTTATAGGTGGAGCTTCCCAGGTGCCAGGGGCCTTGCCTCTGAAGGAGGCTGCACGGAGTGCTTTAGTGGGTTTTCTTTTGTTTTGTTTTTTGTGGGGTTTTTGGTGATGAAGATTGGCCCTGAGCTAACATCTGTTGCCAATCTTCCTCTTTTTGCTGAGGAAGTTTGTTGCTGAACTAAATCTGTGCCAATCTCTCTCTGTTTTGTGTGTGGGACATGACCACAGCATTACTTGATGAGCAGTGTGTAAGTCCACACCCAGGATCCGAACCTGCGAACCCTGGGCCACTGAAGCAGAGCATGTGAACTTAACCACTATGCCACCAGGCCGGCTCCTTTAGCTGGTTTTCTTTGTCCTTCCTCTCCGTTAGGGCAGCTCTGACTCCTGACCACATGGGACTGGTCACTGTGCTCATAATGGGGTGTGGAATCCAGAGAAGGCAGGATTTCATCTGCTTTAGAAGAACCAGACACGCAGTCTGTTGTTCACATGCTTCCAGTGGGATAGTGGGCCTCTTGAGACCACTCTGGATAGTGGGCAGCTCGGTGGCCTCCCTCACCAGGACTCCCTCCTAGCTAGGTTCTGGCAGGACACAGAGGACCTTGCTGGGAAGTGAAACATGAGCCCTTTACTCTTGCTGTCCACAGATCGAGGAGGCACTTGTTCGAAGGAAGAAGATGGAACTCCTCCAGAAGTATGCAAGTGAGACCCTGCAGGCCCAGAGTGAAGAGGCCAAAAGACTCCTGGGATATTAGGGCCAAGCTGGGACCCTCCTTGGGGTCTGGAAATCTGCGGGAGTTCTTCATCCCCTGCTGGCCCTTGCGTTCACCCACAGGGCTCTGCCATCCTAGGACTGCAGACGGGCTGATCAGCGATATGAGGCTTCCTGCTGCTTCTCACCATTCATCCTCCACTGACCTTTTCTCACCTCATCTGAACTGAGGGAAGGGTCTGCCCTGCATCTCCCCAGCAGACCATCTGCCTGCTGCACACTCGGCCATCGCCTTGATACAAATGTTTGCCTACTGGATCAACTCACTTATGTTTATCTTGCGTGTGTAAAACAGGCTGCTAACTGGCTGCCTTTAAGTGTTTTATTTAGCCTTCTACTGTCATTTGGTGGGCAGGATGATAATTAGTGACCACCATTAAAAATTTGCAGTTTTTCCTAAAAAGACATGTTTGTAAGTGTCATCATTGTGAAGTTTCAGTTGTATGTTATTTCTTGTCTGTCACCATGTAAGTGCTCCCCTTCCCCTGCTGTGCCCCCCTACCCCGTGACCACTGAACCATTTTCTTTGTCTATGTGTTTGTTTATATTCCACATATGAGTGAAATCATCTGGTGTTTGTCTTTCTCAGTCTGGCTTATTTTGCTAAGCATAATTCCCTCCACGTCTTTCCATGTTGTTGCAAATGAGATGAATTTGTCTTTTTTTATGGCCGAGTAGTATTCCATTCAGTCATCAGTTGATGGGCACTTAGTTGGTTCCATGTCTTGGCTATTGTGAATGGTGCTGCAGTGAACATAGGGGAGCATATGTTACTTTGGATTGTTGATGTCAAGTTGTTGGAGTAGATACCCAGTATTGGGATAGCTGGGTCATATGGTGTATCTATTTCTGGTTTTTTGAGAAACCTCCATACTGTTGTCCGTAGTGGCTGCACCAGTTTACATTCCCACCAGCAGTGTATGAGGGTTCCCTTCTCTCCATACCCTCTCCAACATTTGTTAATTTTAGTCTTAGTGATTATAGCCATTTTAACAGGAGTACGATGGTATCTTAGTGTAGTTTTCATTTACATTTCCCTGATGATTAGTGATGTTGAACATCTTTTCATATGTTTATTGGCCATCTGTATATCTTTGGGAAAATGTTCATATCCTCTACCCATTTTTTGATTGGGCCGTTTGTTTTTTTATTGTTCAGTTGTGTGAGTTCCTTATATATTATGGAGATTAACCCCCTGTCAGATATAGGATTTGCAAATATTTTCTCCCAGTTGATCGGTTGTCTTTTTGTTTTGATCCTAGTTTCTTTTGCCTTGCAGAAGCTCTTTAGTCTGATGAAGTCCCACTTGTTTATTTTTTCTTTTGTTTCCCTTGTCTGAGAATACCTGGTATTCAGAGATCCTTTTAAGATCAGTGTCAAAGAGTGTACTACCTATATTATCTTCCAGGAGTTTTATGGTTTCAGGACTTATCTTCGAGTCTTTGATCCATTTTGAGTTTAATTTTGTGTATGGCCTACTTTTGTGAGGTAATGGTCTACTTCATTCTTTTGCGTGTGACTGTCCAGTTTTCCCAACACCATTTAGTGAAGAGACTGTCTTTTCTCCATTCTATGTTCTTGGCTCCTTTGTCAAAGATTAGCCATCCGTAGATGTGTGGTTTTATTTCTGGGCTTTCAGTTCTGATCCATTGATCTATGTGCCTGTTTTTGTACCAGTACCATGCTGTTTTGATCACTATGACTTTGTAGTACATTTTGAATTTAGGGGTTGTGATACCTCCAGCTTTGTTCTTTTTTCTCAGGATTGCCTTAGCAAGTCGGGGTCTTTGGTTGCCCATATGAATTTTAGGATTCTTTGTTCTATTTCCATGAAGAATGTCATTGGGATTCTGATTGGGATTGCACTGAATCTGTAGATTGCTTTGGGTAGTATAGACATTTTAGCTATATTTATTCTTCCAATCTATGTGCATGGAATCTCTTTCCATCTCTTCAAGTCATCATCTATTTCTTTTAATGATGTTTTATGGTTTTCATTGTATAAGTCCTTCACCTCCTTAAATTTATTCCTAGGTACTTTATTCCTTTTGTGATTGTAAATGAAATTGTATTCTTGAGTTCTCTTTCTGTAAGTTCATTATTAGAGTTCAGAAACACATATGATTTTTGTAAGTTCATTTTGTACCCTGCAACTTTACTGTAGTTAATTATTTCTAATAGTTTTCCAGTGGATTCTTTAGGATTTTTCTATATTTAAGATCATGTCATCTGCAAACAGCAAGAGTTTCACTTCTTCGCTCCCTATTTGGATTCCTTTTATTCCTTTCTGTTGCCTAATTGCTGTGGCCAAAACTTCCGGTACTATGTCAAATAAGTGGTGATAGTGGGCATCCTTGTCTTGTTCCTGTTCTCAGAGGGGTGGAATTCAGTTTTTGCCCATTGAGTATGATGTTGGCTGTGGGTTTGTCATATATGGCCTTTATGTTGAGGTAATTTCCTTCTATCCCCGTTTTAAGAGTTTTTATCATAAATGGCTGTTGGATCTTGTCATCTGCTTTCTCTGCATCTGTTGAGATGATCATGTAGTTTTTATTCCTCATTTTGTTAATGTGGTGTATCACATTGATGTGTGGATGTAACCATCCCTGTGTCCCAGAAATAAATCCCACTTGATCATGATGTATGATCTTTTTGATGTATTGTTGTATTTGATTTGCTAATATTTTGTTGAGGATTTTTACATCTGTGTTAATCAGCAATATTGGCCTGTAGTTTTCCTTTTTTGTGTTGTCCTTGTCGGGCTTTGGTATCAGAGTGATGTTGGCCTCACGGAATGTGTTAGGAAGCGTTCAATCTTCCCTAATTTTTTGGAATAGCTTGAGAAGGATAGGTATTAAATCCTCTCTGAAAGTTTGGTAGAATTCCCCAGGGAAGCCATCCGGTCCTGGGCTTTTATTCTTTGGGATGCTTTTGATGGCTGTTTCAATCTCTTTCCTTGTGATTTGTCTATTTAGATTCTCTATTTCTTCTTCATTCAGCTTTGGAAGGTTGTAAGAGAGTAAGAATTTATCCATTTCCTCTAGATTGTCCATTTTGTTGGCATATAGTTTTTTTTGTAGTATTCTCTTATAATCTGTTGTATTTCTGTGGTATCTGTTGTTATTTCTCCTCTTTCATTTCTAATTTTCTTTATCTGAGCTTTCTCTCTTTTTTTCCTTAAAGTTTGGCTAGGGTTTTTGTCAGTTTTATTTGTCTTCTCAAAGAACCAGCTCTTTATTACACTGATCCTTTGTACTTCCTTTTTTGTTTCAATAGGATTTATTTCTGCTCTGATTTTTATTATTTCCCTCCTTTTGCTGACTTTGGGCTTTGTTTGTTCTTTTTCTAATTCAGTTAGTTATAGTTTGAGATTGCTTATTTGGGTTTTTTCTTGTTTGGTAACGTGAGCCTTATTGTGATGAATTTCCCTCTTAATCTGGCTTTTGCTGCATCCCATATGAGTTGGTATGGTATGTTTTCATTTTCATTTGTCTCCAGATATTTTTTTATTTCTCCTTTAATTTCTTCAGTGATCCATTGGTTGTTCAGTAGCCTGTTTTTAATCTCCACATCTGTGTCCTTTTCTCAGCTTTTTTCTTGTAATTAATTTCTAGCTTCATAGCATTGTGATCGGAAAAGATGCTTGTTATTATCTTAATCTTCTTAAATTTATTGAGGCTTGCCTTATTTCCCAACACATAGTCTATTCTTGAGAATGTTCCATGTGCACTTGAGAAGAATGTGTATTCTGCTGTTTTTGGATGGAGTGTTCTATATATGTCTAGTAAGTCCATCTGGTCTAGGTTTTCATTTAATTCCACTGTTTCCTTGTTGATTTGCTGTCTGGATGTTCTATCCATTGATGTGAATGGAATGTTGAGGTCCCCTAGTATTATTGTGTTGTAATTAATATCTTTTTTTAGGTTTGTTAATAGTTGCTTTATGTACTTTGGTGCTCCTGTGTTGGGTGCATAGATATTTATAAGTTTTATGTCTTCTTGATGAAATGTCCCTTTGATGATTATATTCTGCCCCTTTTTGTCTCTCTTTATCTGTCTTATCTTGAAGTCTGCTTTGTCTGATGTAAGTATTGCAGCACCTGCTTTCTTTTGTTTGCCATTAGCTTGGAGTATTGTCTTCCATCCCTTCACTCTGAGCCTGTGTTTGTCATGGGAGCTGAGATGTGTTTCCTGGAGGCAGCATATTGTTGGGTCTTGTTCTTTAATCCATGTCGCCACTCTGTGTCTTTTTATTGGAGAATTCAATCCATTTACATTTAGGGTGATTGTTGATATATGAGGGCTTAATGCTGCCATTTTATTACTCATTTTCCAGTTCTCCTGCTTTTCCTTTGTTTCTCGTCCTGTGTATTTTGGTCTACCAATGAAGTTATGTAGTTTTTTAATGTTCTGTTTCTTTGTTTTCTCCTTATTTATTATTTGTATCTCTGTTGTGCTTTTTTGTTTAGTGGTTACCCTGAGGTTTGTATTCAAGATGTTATGGATAAGATAGTCCCTTTTCTGAACTCCTCTAATTTCCTTAGACTAAACCGATTCAGTCCTTTCCTCTTCCCCTCCTAAGTTGTTTTTTCTCAAATCTTATTCCATCTTGTGTTATGAATTTGTGGTTAATGACAAGATTATCTTTGTTTTTGGTGTTTTCTTTCCCTTTGTCTTTAATGCTACACTTGAGTATTTGCTATCCTGCTCTGATTCTGTCTACCATTTAACTCCTTACTCCATGCTTTGTAACTCCTTTCTCCCTTTTTTTTTTTTAAGGTATGAGGGCCTTCTTGAGGATTTCTTGTAGGGGGGTCAGTCTCATGGCTACAAACTCCCATAGCTTATGTTTGTCTGGGAAAGTTTTTATTTCTCCATCATATCTGAAGGGTGTTTTCACTGGATAGAGTATTCTTGACTGAAAGTTTTTGTCCTTCAATGATTTGAATACGTCATTCCAGTCTCTTCTAGCCTGTAAGGTTTCTGCAGAGAAATCCACTGAAAGCCTGATGAGGGTTCCTTTGTAGATTATTTTCTTCTGCCTTGCTGCCCTTAGTATTCTTTCTTTGTCATTCAGTTTTGCCAGTTTCACTACTATATGCCTTGCAGTAGGTCTTTTTACATTGACATATTTAGGAGATCTGGCAGTGTCTTCCACATGGATTTCCTTTCCTAGGTTTGGGAAGTTCTCTGCTGTTATTTCTTTGAACAAGCTTTCTGCTCCATTCTCCTTCTCTTCTCCTTCTCCTTCTGAAATACCTATAATTCTTATGCTGCATTTCGTAATTGAGTTGGATATTTCTTGGAGACTTTCTTTGTTTCTTTTTAGTCTTAATTCTCTCTCCTCCTCTATCTGGACCATTTCAACATGTCTGTCTTTGATTATGCTGATGTGCTCCTCTGTGA